CTCTAAAAAACATTGAAAAATAAATATTTTGTGCAGATATTATAGATTTAAAATAAGACTTACTAAAAACGGATAAAGATTAAGATAATTTGTTGTATTAATTTACAAACTTGTTTTCAAAATAGGAAATGTAATTTCCCCAAGATGATTAAGATAAACTAGTAAATTTATGCGGAAATATAATATTGCCAATTAAATTGAAATGGATTCAGTAGTTTAAAAATGGTAAAAACAGCTAAATTTAATTATGCAAATTTACCAAACTGAAAAAACCGAAAGCTAATTACTTTATTATAGCAACAATAAACAAAAACTAAAACCATTAATGTAAATCACTTGCCATTAATACAACAAAAAACTGAAATAAGTAATTAAAATAATCATGTTTAATGAATTTTAAAAAATACTAATTAAAACAGACAAATTAAATAAGCACTTAAAATACACCCAGAACTAACACCCAAGTTCAAAAACAAGCAAGATAAAAATTACTACACATACCGCGGCTGTTCCAGCATATCCTCATAATTAATAAAATAGACCGAGGTCCAATCCTCGATCCTATCCATTTGACCCTCGGACAATTTCTTAGCCTTATTGGCCTTATAGGAGCCCACGAGTAGGTAATGCTTGTTATTGGCCGTCACAGACATCCAGACGCCGTACAGACGCTTACACACCAGTGCCGACGCGTTGCGGGCTATGATAACACTGAACCGATAGTTGCTATCCTTAAACGCCTCGTCCAACTCCACCTTCAGTACGCGGGCTGTCTTACGGCTACCGTAGTCGCGGCTTATGGTGGCGTTCAGCACCTGCATTACTTTTGTCACATCCGAGGCAACCATGTTGGTCTCGTGTTGGTTTAGGTTCACTGTGCGGGTACGATCAGGGTAGGCCTTGCGTTTAAATGCTAGCTCAGGGAGTGTGGTGTTGGTGCCGGTGGTGTTAGTGGTACCCGTGCTATAGGATGTGGTGGTAGTGTTGTTGATGGGGGTAGTGTTGGTAGGAATTGACGGTAAGGTAGGTGTGCTCACGGATGTGCTGTTTAGGGATGTGCTGGTCAGAGATGTGTTGCTTAGGCCTGTGATGGTCAGTGTTGTGTTGGGTCGGGCAGAGGGTTGTGGTGTTGTTGATGAGGTTGTGGTGTTTTTTGGCACCACTAGTATATGGTATTCATTGTTGCTGGCGGTGGTGGGTATGGGTTTAGGGTGTGAACTGTTGATACTGTTGGTGCTGTTCAATGGTATGATCTCCAGTATTGGATCAGATGCGGTGATGTTTGTGGATAACTCGCTCGCGTTGAATGCTATGTTAATATTATGTGTTTAATTGTTTATAATATTTTTTTACATTTATGGTTTTCTTACCGCATGATATGCTTAGCACATGCCATGTGATTAGTGTAGTTATGGCTGTGATTTTTGTGTGAATTACCATGATGATTTTATTACACTATTTAATTAAGTTATTAATTAAGTTTTAATCAAGTTTTAAACACAAAATAGTAATTAAAACTATAGTTTTGACGACATTTTTACACGCATTTCATAGGATTTATGAAAACCTTTTTGTTTGTTGCAAAAAAACTTCAACAAAATATTGAATGAAAAACTCTCAGCGAAAAAATATAATGTGTTTTTAATGCAAACTTATTTTTGCACAAAATATCAATTTATTAGATATTAATCTATGGGTTATAAATGATATTTTTTCGTACATGATATTTAATGACAATTTTATACATTATATGGCTTTGGCACCGGTTTTTCTCGCAGACTAAACATTATAGCATTTTTAGTGAAATATTTAATTAAATTCAATTAAAAAATGTTTTATCATTTAATATATTGAAAATATTTTATATTAAAATTCATGAAAACACAGAGTATTTTGAACACAAAAATATATAATAAATCATTGATTTTAACGATCGTTGATATGAATTATAAATATTACACTGTTTTGAGTGTAATATACTTTTGAAATTAATGTACTTTTTATTATGAATATTGCTTTTTATTGTTAACTAAACAATTGTTTTATACTTTTCCTAACCATATATAAATAAATCAAACACTTATTATTGAAATAATATAACATTTCATTTTAAAACCTTATTGTTTTTTCCCCATAAATAGTGATCACCGTTTAATTACTGGATAAAAACCAAACAAACCACTCGACAAACCCTTTTATATACACATATATTATATAATATTGCAGTATTTGATGGGAAAGTTTGTCGACGACGACACACCTCTCAACACATAACAAACCCTTTCATTTCGTAATTAAATAAATAACTTTGAAAACTATTTTATGACCAGAATATAAACACCACATTATATACACATTGTTCTTAATATAACGGATATATTATATTAATATTGTATTAATAAAAATAAAAAACAAACAAAAAAGTAATAAAATAATAAATCTCTTTATTATATCAAACTACACCACATAAATCAGGTAGGCTAACCACCCGGCCTTTGACCTACAAGTTAGGCCTATAGGCAACACTACCGGCAAAATTTTTATCGTCCGAGGTGATTCTGTGCACTTTACCACAAGTGGGATGTGCCGGGTGCTGATCGGGGCCAAAGTTTTTATAGGCAGTGGTAATAAACATCTGATCCATGTTTGGTCCGCCAAACACAGGTGTAGTGACCAGTGGGCACGGGATGGCACAGGTGTCCACCACATCGCCGGTGTTGGGGTCGACCTTCACGACACGTCCGGCGGCGTAAGAGGCGGCCCATAAGTGGCCAGTGATGTCAATGGTTAGGCCATCAGGGTGGTCGTTGACTGTCCAATCGGTGTTGGTCTCTGCGTCTACCAAGACCTTTCTGTTTGCTATTTTTTGTTTGTGTAGATAATTATATAATTAGGTATAATGTTAATTATTGTCAAGTTGTTTAATTAAAAGTGAGTTAACTTGTTTGTTTGATAAGTGTTTTTGCATTTTGATAACTGTTTGTTACAGACAATTATTACTTTTAATCAAGGAATTTAAAAATTTTAATTATAATATAATTATCTTATACTGTATTAATAATAGAACTGTGTAGCAAATAATGTATGGGCAAAAAAACTTAATTAAACATGGTTATGCACTTTATGCTGTGTCTTTGTAAATTTTATCTAGATGTTTATAGTTTCTAATTAGTGCAGGTGAAATCAATTGGCACATGTATGCCAATATCTATCATAAGTGCATTGGAAACAATTATCATTGTAAGATATACTTTTTAAATAAAATGTCAACAACTATTTGGATGCCTATCCCTATAGTGAACAGATTTACGGATATCTATAGATATAACTATTACTTATAAATTCTTGACAATTAAAAGCAATTTTCTCAAGTATGCGATTAAGACATCAAAACATTTTAACACTAATAAAACAGAGAGAATAGTGAGGGGTGTGGGGCGCAGGTGGGACAGGTAGGTATAACATTTACCATGATTATTACTTACCAACTGTTCCCTTATCGAGATCAAAGTCAAACACATAGATTTTGCGGCCCTCGGAGTCATTGATGAACAACTTTTTCTGGTCGTGACTCCAAGTGATGCCATTTGTGAGGTAAAAATTGTCGGCCCTTTTGGTGAACCCTTTGCCCGATTCCCACGTCCAGAGGTTGCCTTTGCCGGGCAGTACTGAGTGATCGCCGGGAGTTAGACTGTCGGTCACTGTGGCCAACCACATACGGCCAGACTTGTCTGGTTGACCCTCGTTGAATCGCTCCTGGCCTTTTAGTTCGGGTGCCACTTCGCCTAGGTGATATTACAATAGTTTTGTTAGTTTATGTAGATAAATACAAATAAATAATAAGAAGGCTATTATACTCTATAATTTTGAAATTATACAAATATTTTTAAGTACATTTTATTTACGCTTACAATTTCTTCGTTAGTTTTATTAGTTTTTAATTTTAAGAGAGAATGAGAGAGAGAGAGAGAGAGAGAGAGAGCATAGATAATACAATTCCAACAAAATATTGATTAGAGACAGAAAAACAATAGACATATAAAAACGCTGGCATAAAATATAATACACTTTTCATTTCTAATTTCTTACTTTTTATACATACATACAGTTTTATTACTGTATATAAAAAACACCACCATGAATCTGCACACATTATGCCTGTGCCTATTTCTATCGGTCACTTATAGTGTAGCTAAAGTGCATTATAAGGTGGCGGCGGTGGAGAAATTGGATAACGACCTAGGTGAGGGACCGCATTGGGACGAGAAACAGCAAGTGCTATGGCATACGGATATCAACGAGTTCAGAGTGTGCCGCTTGAACGTGACCAGTCAGGACAGTGAGTGTCATAAATTGACCGATATCGCTACTTTTGTCCACCCGTACCCCAATGGCGAGGACCTGTTAGTGTCTCAGCGTAATAAACTGGTCAAGCTCAATTGGAAAACTAAGCAAGTCACATTGCTGGGTATGTATGATTTGCTGTGCTCTCTCTCTCTCTCTCTCTCTCTCTCTCTCTAAAAAACATTGAAAAATAAATATTTTGATCAGATATTATAGATTTAAAAATTAAACTTACTAAAAACGGATAAAGATTAAGATAATTTGTTGTATTAATTTACAAACTTGTTTTCAAAATAGGAAATGTAATTTTCCCCAAGATGATTAAGATAAACTAGTAAATTTATGCGGAAATATAATATTGCCAATTAAATTGAAATGGATTCAGTAGTTTAAAAATGGTAAAAACAGCTAAATTTAATTATTCAAATTTACCAAAATGAAAAAACCAAAAGCTAATTACTTTATTATAGCAACAATAACAAAAACTAAAACCATTAATGTAAATCACTTGCCATTAATACAAAAAAAAATACTGAAATAAGTAATTAAAATAATCATGTTTAATGAATTTTAAAAAATACTAATTAAAACAGACATATTAAATAAGCAGTGCTTATTAAGCACCCAAGTTTAAAAAACAACCAAGATAAAAATTACTACACATACCTAGGCTGTTCCAGCATATCCTCATAATTAATAAAATAGACCGAGGTCCAATCCTCGATCCTATCCATTTGACCCTCGGACAATTTCTTAGCCTTATTGGCCTTATAGGAGCCCACGAGTAGATAATGCTTATTATTAGCCGTCACAGACATCCAGACGCCGTACAGGCGCTTACACACCAGTGCCGACGCATTGCGGGCTATGATAACACTGAACCGATAGTTCCTGTCCTTAAACGCCTCGTCCAACTCTACCTTCAGTACGCGGGCTGTCTTACGGCTACCGTAGTCGCGGCTTATGGTGGCGTTCAGCACCTGCATCACTTTTGTCACCTCCGAGCCGACCATGTTGGTCTCGTGTTGGTTTAGGTTCACTGTGCGCGTCCTGTCCGGGTAGGCCTTGCGTTTAAATGCTAGCTCCGAGAGTGTGGTTGTGTTGGTCGTGCCGGTGGTGGTTGTGTTAGTGGTACCCGTGCTATAGGATATGGTGGTGGTGTTGATAGGGGTAGCGTTGGTAGGGATTGACGGCCCCGTAGGTGTGCTGTTCAGGGGTGTGCTGTTTAGGGTTGTGCTGACCAGTGATGTGTTGCTCAGTCCTGTGCTGGTCAGAGATGTGCTCGTAGTGTTGGGTCGGGCGAGTGGTTGTGGTGTTGGTCGTGATGAGTTTGTAGTGTTTTTTGGCACCACTAGTATATGGTATTCATTGTTGCTGGCGGTGGTGGGTATGGGTTTAGGGTGTGAACTGTTGATACTGTTGGTGCTGTTCAATGGTATAATCTCTAGTATGGGATCAGATGCGGTGATGTTTGTAGATAACTCGCTCGCGTTGAATGCTATGTTAATATTATGTGTTTAATTGTTTGTAATTTGTTTTTACAGTTTTCTTACCGAATGATATGCTTAGCACATGCCATGTGATTAGTGTAGTTATGGCTGTGATTTTTGTGTGAATCACCATGATGACTTTATTACACTATTAATTAAGTTATTAATTAAGTTTTAATCAAGTTTTAAACACAAAATAGTAATTAAAACTATAGTTTTGACATTTTTACACGCATTTCATAGGATTTATGAAAACCTTTTTGTTTGTTGCGAAAAAAACTTCAACAAAATATTGAATGAAAAACTCTCAGCGAAACAAATATAATGTGTTTTTAATGCAAACTTATTTTTGCACAAAATATCAATTTATTAGATATTAATCTATGGGTTATAAATTATATTTTTTCGTACATGATATTTAATGACAATTTTATACATTATATGGCTTTGGCACCGGTTTTTCTCGCAGACTAAACATTATAGCATTTTGAGTGAAATATTTAATTAAATTCAATTAAAAAATGTTTTATCATTTAATATATTGAAAATATTTTATATTAAAATTCATGAAAACACAGAGTATTTTGAACACAAAAATATATAATAAATCATTGATTTTAACGATCGTTGATATGAATTATAAATATTACACTGTTTTGAGTGTAATATACTTTTGAAATTAATGTACTTTTTATTAACAATATTGCTTTTTATTGTTAACTAAACAATTGTTTTATACTTTTCCTAACCATATATTAATAAATCAAACACTTATTATTGAAATAATATAACATTTCATTTTAAAACCTTATTGTTTTTTCCCCATAAATAGTGATCACCGTTTAATTACTGGATAAAAACCAAACAAACCACTCGACAAACCCTTTTATACACACATAAAATATAATATAAATTATATAATATCGCAGTATTTGATGGGAAAGTTTGTCGACGACACACCTCTCAAACATAACAAACCCTTTCATTTCGTAATGAAATAAATAATTTTGAAAACTATTTTATGGCCAGAATATAAACACCATATTATATACACATTGTTAATAAAAAATAACGGATATATTATATTAATATTGTATTAATAACAATAAAAAACAAACAATAAAATAATAAATCTCTTTATTATATCAAACTACACCACATAAATCAGAAACACAGGTAGGCTAACCACCCGGCCTTTGACCTACAAGTTAGGCCTATATGCAACACTACCGGCAAAATTTGTATCGTCCGAGGTGATTCTGTGCACTTTACCACAAGTGGGATGTGCCGGGTGCTGATCGGGGCCAAAGTTTTTATAGGCAGTAGTGATAAACATCTGATTCATGTTGGGTCCGCCAAACACCGGTGTAGTGACCAGTGGGCACGGGATGGCACAGGTGTCCACCACATCGCCGGTGTTGGGGTCGACCTTCACTACCCGTCCGGCGGCGTAAGAGGCGGCCCATAAGTGGCCGGTGATGTCTATAGTTAGGCCATCAGGGTGGTCGTTTACTGTCCAATCGGTGTTGGTCTCGGCATCGACCAAGACCTTTCTGTTTGCTATGTTTTGATGGATAGATAATTTTATAATTAGGTATAATTTTAATTATTGTTAAGTTGTTTGATTATAAGTGAGTAAATTGTATGCTGTGTTTTTGTAAATTTTATCTAGATGTTTATAATTTACTAATTACTGTAGGTGAAATCAATTGGCACATAAATGCCAATATCTATTATAAGTGCATTGGAAACAATTATCATTGTAAAATATGCTTTTTAAATAAAATGCCAATAACTATTTGGATGCCTATCCCTATAATGAACAGATTTACGGATATCTATAGATATAACAATTACTTATCAATTCTTGACAATTAAAAGCAATTTTCTCAAGTATACGATTAAAACATTAAAATATTTTAACACTAATAATTTATATTATTAGTAATAAAGCAGAGAGAATAGTAAGGGGTGTGTGGGTGCAAATGGGACAGGTAGGTATGACATTTACCATGATTATTACTTACAAACTGTTCCTTTATCGAGATCAAAGTCAAACACATAGATTTTGCGGCCCTCGGAGTCGTTGATAAACAACTTTTTCTGGTCGTGACTCCAAGTGATGCCATTTGTGAGGTAGAAATTGTCGGCCGCTTTGGTAAACCCTTTGCCCGATTCCCACGTCCAGAGGTTGCCTTTGCCGGGCAGTACTGAGTGATCGCCGGGAGTTAGACTGTCGGTCACTGTGGCCAACCACATACGGCCAGACTTGTCGGGTTGGCCCTCGTTGAATCGCTCCTGGCCTTTTAGTTCGGGTGCCACTTCGCCTAGGTGATATTACAATAGTTTTGTTAGTTTATGTAGATAAATACAAATAAATAATAAGAGGGCTATTATACTCTATATACAGATATTGAAATTGTACAAATATTTTTAAGTACATTTTATTTACTCTTACAATTTCTTCGTTAGTTTTATTAGTTTTTAATTTTAATTTTAAGAGAGAGAGAGAGAGAGAGAGAGTACAGCAAAACAATACATACCCAACACGGTGACTTTCTTAGTTTTCCAATTGAGCTTGACCAGTTTATTACGCTGAGACACTAACAGGTCCTCGCCATTTGGGTACGGGTGGACAAAAGTAGCGATATCGGTCAATTTATGACACTCACTGTCCTGACTGGTCACGTTCAAGCGGCACACTCTGAACTCGTTGATATCCGTATGCCATAGCACTTGCTGTTTCTCGTCCCAATGCGGCCCTTCACCTAGGTCGTTGTCCAATTTCTCCACCGCCGCCACCTTATAATGCACTTTAGCTACACTATAAGTGACCGATAGTAATAGGCACAGGCATAATGTGTGCAAATTCATGGTGGTGTTTTTTTTATATACAGTAATAAAACTGTATGTATTTATAAAAGTAAGAAATTAGAAATGAAAAGTGTAATATATTTTATGCCAACGTTTTTATATGTCTATTGTTTTTCTGTCTCTAATCAATAATTTGTTGAAATTGTATTATCTGTGCTCTCTCTCTCTCTCTCTCTCTCTTAAAATTAAAATTAAAAACTAATAAAACTAACGAAGAAATTGTAAGAGTAAATAAAATGTACTTAAAAATATTTGTACAATTTCAATATCTGTATATAGAGTATTGTTAGTGTCTCAGCGTAATAAACTGGTCAAGCTCAATTGGAAAACTAAGAAAGTCACCGTGTTGGGTATGTATTGTTTTGCTGTACTCTCTCTCTCTCTCTCTCTCTCTTTCTTTCTTTCTCCTTAATGTATTTTTGTGAGAACTGAGACATTTGTTTCAATATATAATGTATTAATAATTATGATATATTCTGTGTATTAATTAATTAAAATATGTTTGACTTTATTAGCGCCTGTATATTTCAGTCACTAACTTATGCTTTAATTTTTATTACCTTAAATTATATAACTATGATATCCGTTTTGGTGAACCAAATATATTTCTAGGTTGTAATGCACTAAATAACACAATTTTATAATACATTATAATAAAATATTTGTTAATAAATAAATACAACATATACTATTATTTATATATAAAGTAGTAAACAACATGATTAGTTATAAATGATAATTCTGTGATATGCAATGTACATATATTGTTATGATGTATTAAAAATATATTGAGTATTATTGTATTTAATGTGTCCTAATATTTAATATGGCATATGTAATAATTAAATATTTTGGTCCAGATAGTTTTCCATTTGTTGAAGTAGATATTAAAGTTAAGCCAATTAATTATTATAATCAATCTACTTTTAAAACATGTTTGGTTTCATCTATGTGAATTTTGTTCAATTTTTTTACTATTTTGTATTTAGATAAAAAGTTCAGTATGTTTTTATAACCTGATAATAATTGCATTAATCTCTAACATATATTTATATAATATGGTGATTTTTCATATAGATAATGATCGTGGTGAATTATTTTGTAGTAAGTGCATTGTTCATTGGAGAGAGAGAGAGAGAGAGAGAGATCTAGTTTAATAAACTCGGACACCAGACATGATAATCACATTTGGATTAATTCAAAATTTACTCAAATGTTTGGTTGAGG